GACCAACTTTAGAACCGGATGTATTTTCCTACAATGTATCATAAGTAATTACTATGAGGTAGTATGTACATGGAATAAATAAAAAATTTCAATAATCTATAATACCTCCTCATGAGCTATACAAGCAAAGCTCTTCGATCCAGCCGTGTGCGTAAACTTTTGTTGTTGCCTGCTAGCAACACCAACATGCTCTCGGTCCTACAATGTCAAACAACCACTTTTAATGATGATTTAAATTTCGTGACAACTATTTACGAAAAAATACATCATACCTGTCCTTTTTGGGAACTCCAAAATCTGACTGCATCTTCCCATTGGTACCTGAGCATTCCTGGTGGGACTGTTTGCAACTTCTCTTCAAGGCTGAGATCATTCTTGAAGTATTTCTTCTTTAAGGAGCTCTTGTGGTCCCTCCATCTCTTCCCTAACGCTTGCTTCACATAATCGTCAGAGACCTCTAAAAAATATTTCTCCTATACATAAAATAAGTTTGCACCGTAAGTATAAATTAATATTGAATTTCTATAGAGTATCTATTATATTGAATTTCTCCTATAAGAAACATATTTTGTTGGTAAGATGTAACACTTATGTAAGTTACTTTACTCTTCCAAATTCATTCTTGCTGTTAGTTGGTGAAGCAAATCTAATAAAGTGAAAGCTTTTTAGCAAACTAATGGCAGATCTGAGGGTAATAATGCGTGCATATGTAATGGATTGTCTCATGAAAGGGTAAATAAAGAAATACCTCATTTTCATAAGGGTTTTGGCTTAACCAATCTCAAAATATAAAATAAAGAATGCAACATTCAAAGGAAAAAAGAAGAGGCCAATCTTTACTTTCGGGTACTAACTATTCTGTCTCACTCGTCTCATACATGATACATATTTAACTATGTTTACGCTTTTCTTCTTCATTTTTGCATGGTTGAACAGTAAAAAAAAATTCAAATTATTTATCTTTGTTCACATGGAAAGACAGATTTTGCGTAGGATACCAAATTAGAAAGTTATATTAGAAATTTAAAGATTTAAAATGAGATTATTATTAAAAAAAGTACAAATAAAATACCTCTACAATACGAGACTTTAGAATTTTGATGGGTGACCACACCCAGTATCCTTTAGTACATCCTGAATTCAAATTATTTATTCAATTAATTTTCAAAAACAAATAATTCTTGATTTTCATGGTAAACTCGGATCACATTTTCAAGTTCGATTGAGACTCACACAAAGGTTAACCGAATCATATAAAGTGGAACTTGCATTCATTTATACAAGCAAAACTAGCGATTCTGAAATAACTACATGGTCAAACAAGACAGAGGAACGAAGGCAAGTACGAAATAACTACATGGTCAAACAAGAAAGAGGAACGAAGGCAAGTAAGTACCTTAGCTGCTCTTCCAAGGTTTAAGGACTCCAACAACTATAACAGCAACTATGATTAGGAGAATCAAAATGGCGATGCACATCCTCTTTCGTGTACTCTTCTGTCGATTCTTTGCTTTTTGAAGGGCAACCGTCCCTGACTGGACATTACTGACTGCAGTTGAAACCTGAACAAGATTTCATTAACGCACAATGCCAAGCAAAAAACACCACTCGACCTAATATGCATACTAATAAATACTTGGTAAACCACCATTCTAAGAGATTTGAGAATATGAACAAACCTGACTATCGATGTTGTCTAAAATTTCTCCTTCTGCTTCAAAAGAACTGCAAAATCAAGGTAAATCTGACAATAGCAACCCCATTAGAAAAGTTAACTCGTTTAGTCCATAATACATGCTAATGCGCATCTCACGTTGAATCAACTACTAAGAGAAAGAAAGCCTAACCTGGGTATCGCGAAAAGCTTCTCATTTTCGTCGCGTAATTTTTGTTCCGAGTCTGAAATCAGAGAGAAATCGAAGGGAAACAAGGGAAGAAGGGTTAAGAAATGCTGGGTTGGATTTGGGATTTTACTTATCGACCGAAGAATGGTGTACTACTTGCGACGACGTTGGAGGCGAAGGAAGCTGGGCGTAGTGAATGAGATGGCTTCTGTAATTGGCGTGAGGGAACGGATAATAGTGATGGAAAAGAGGGCTAGGCTAGAGGAGAATTAAAACGGACTTTGCGGCGTTTAAATACAAACGCCACTGAAGGGTAACCAATTGCGGCGTTTTTAATTAAAAACGCAACTAATGTTAAAAACATTTGCGGCGTTTTTTGTCAAAACGCCACTAAAGTACGCATCATTTGCGGCGTTTGTTAGCAAAACGCTGCTAAATTGCTAATACTTTGCGGCGTTTCTACGAAAACGCCACTAAAGTACGAGGATATAACGGCGTTTTCATACGAACGCCACTAAAGTAGGAAAGGACGTAGCGGCGTTTTCATACAAACGCCACTAAAATATAAATATTTTGCGGCGTTTTTTTATAAAAACGCCACTATATAATACACCTATTGCGGCGTTTATAAAAAGCAGCCGCTATTGTACTACTCATTAGCGGCGTTTATATCTAAAAACGCCGCAAAATGTTTAATATATAGCGGCGTTTTTGGATACAAACGCCGCTAAATACCTTTCTTTATATTAGATTAACATATTTTAAATATTTCATTTCTTCTATACATAACCTAAAGTTACAACCATACATTTTAATTAAAACAGAAGTACTTATGCATAAAACTACTTAACAACAAAATACATTATAATTTAGAAACATTAAAGTACTTATGCATAAAACCACTTAAAAACAAAATACATTATAATTTAGAAACATTAAAGTACTTATGCATAAACAGTCTTCACCATATTGTTCAGTACAATTTAGTCTTCATTGCTCTTTCGTGGGGAAAGGACGTAGGAAAGTTGTTTTCCTTGTTTGACGACGCATCGTTAAGTTTTTCCTCCGTGTAAATTCTATATGGAGAAACTCTTCATCCATTTCACCAAAAATCTCCTACCTCCGGTTCACCAAGAAGACTCCTTGCGCGCTTCAGTGCTTCACTTGAAACAGATAACGACCCTCCACCTACAGTATAAAACTTGATTGGAGGTGCTTGGGAATTGAATCAAACATTAAAATATATTTAAATAGATGATATAAATGTTTACTTGGAGTAACAGTAGAGGCAACATCGTCTTCATTGAGGATCGATACTGCTTTTGCAATTGAAGATTCTTTCAACGCCACAGAGTTACCAAATTCGGTTCTAAACATAGGGTATTTTTCCATTTCTCTATCATCATTCTCAATACCCTTCGAAGATCCTACATGCGTACGATCTATGAAATTTGAGTGACCGTACAAAAAAGGAAATATACGGCATAAAGATTCATAGAATTTTACCTTCAGTAGGAGATCGGCCATGGAAGGGTATGGAGCAATATGAGTTCCTGTCGAGTCATCATCGAGTTTCGACGGCGAAACCGGACCGATAGCCTCCCAGCGATAATTTGATCCATCGTCAGAGCAAAGACGCCACGTAGACATTCCGACGATAATTTCTCTTACTCAAGGCAAGACCTGCTCTTTTTTTTCTCAATATGTTAGCTTTCTGGGTTTTCCCCCATTTTCAGAATACCAACCAAACAAAATTGAAAAAGATCAGGAGCTAAGATAAGAGGGATCAAACCGTGGAATTGTGTTATAGTTCGTCGGTGAGAGGGCCGATTTGGTCGCCGGGATAGACAAAAGACGACGTCGCTTGGAATCGTGTGAGGGTTGTTGTTGTACCAGAGAATAAACTGTGAGGGAAGAAGAGTTGAAATGATTTTAGGGTTTGGGTGGGAGAAAATGGAGGATAATATATTTAACATTTTGCGGCGTTTTTACAAAACGCCACTATATCACATGTTTTTGCGGCGTTTATACAATAAACGTCGCTATATTACACTATATTGCGGCGTTTTTAGCTAAAACGCCGCTAAATGTCTACTATATTGCGGCGTTTTTACTATAAACGCCGTTATTGTTTAACCTTTCTGTGGCGTTTGTCTAAAAACGACGCAAAAACTATTATTAATTGCGGCGTTTGTTGAAAAAACGCCACTATATACCATCCTATGGCGGCGTTTTTCACAAAAACACCGCTATATTTATACTATTTTGCAGCGTTTTCACAAAAAATGCCGCGAAAGTCTCAATTTGTGGCGTTTGAAATGAAAACGCTGCTATATGTAATACTTTTGTGGCGTTTTATCATAAAACGCCGCTGAAAACGCCGCTACAGAACTCTTTTGCTGTAGTGCCTCCATGGCATCCAACTTATAATTAATTCCAATATTTAGTCTATGATGTACAAGTCAAAAAGAATATGGAAGAATATCGATTGCTTAATTTGCTACCCATAGCTCATTGGCGAATTCCAAACTACCTTTTGAATTTTATCAAGTTCCAAGCAGCTAAGATAGCTGCTTCCTGCAGTAAAAAAACTATGTACGTACTACTCGCTGGATTTTATAATCCATTTGATGTTATAAAAATTACTGTGTCAAACTAGATTGATTTAATTAATTAATTATTCATTAGTATTTTATTAAGTAATAAAATTTGAATATCAATTACTAAATGATTTGTGAACCCATTCAATCTAATCAAGATAATAAATTTTATGTCAGGATAAATTTAAAAAATTTTAAGAGACAAAAATATATTATTAATAAAAAGTATAAAAAATATTAAATTAATGAGAATTTAAAATTAAAAAAAATACTGTCTAGGCCATCCCTCGTTCCATCTCTAAATCTAACTCTTTGACCTAGATTTTGCACTTGTATTATCATTAATTACCATGTTTCCCACTAGTATAAGGATATTTATATTTCCGGAAGATGACACTAATTAAAGCAAAGTCTTCGCTCTTATCTAGCTAGTTTACATTAACATCAATAAAAACCTAGGAAGCTGGCTGTTATGGTCTTTCTCCTCCTTTCTTCTGATGCATTAAGAAAACAAACAAAAGAGAAGCAAACAAATCATATAACTGGAGAATTGTGGTGCTCATATAAAATATGAATCATACTATCTCTCCCTATTCATATATCTGAATTACAGTGCACATATGTAATTCTTTTACTAAGAGTGGCACCAGTTGAAATCATGCATGAAATAAGAAAAAAGGAAATTAGTAAGAGCATAGTGATCATCAAGGAGCGGGAGCTAGGGACTCGGAATAGGGCGTTCTTTCTCCTTGCTTGGTGCACATGCCCTCTTGAAACATGTACGAACTTGATAAGTTATATTCCTCTACTGACTTCTGTTACTAGGATCGAAGTACTTCCCGTATTGCTGAGGATAATAATCAAGACTCGAAGAGCTGTCGTAGTTTGTCGAAAATAGTGTTGGATCCGGGTAATAGTACTGTGATGAGGGGGGAGTGGATGATGCTGACATTGAAGAGAATTGCGGAGATAAAGGCACTTGGTTTAAGTTGAAGAGATTCGAAGTATAATACGAAATATCGGCATCATTACTACTAGAAAGCAGCTGAGCATATTGATACAAGTGAGGGTAAGAATCCTGAGTCGACCACGATGAAGGTTCGAATACCGGCGTAGGATTTTGTTCAGAACGGACCGTGCTTGAATTTCCGGGGCCGGTTAAATGGCTCACCTCCTGATTCTCTTGTACACGTTCAGGGAAATTTAGCTTTGCCTTGGTGCCTTTAAACTTGAGAGCAGCTCTATCGTAAGCAAGGGCTGCATCTTCAGCTGTGTCAAAAGTGCCAAGCCACACTCGAGCTGCTTTCTTCGGGTCACGAATTTCAGCTGCCCATTTGCCCCATGGCCTTTGCCTTACTCCTCTGTAATGCTTTTTCCTCGTGCTCTCTTCACAAACAAAAAGATTTATAAGTGTTCTGCATGGTAATTTTGCATGGAATACGAAATGTTGGACTAAAAGTTAACCAAACCCAATAACAAAACAAACATATGTTTCAAACATACTACTAACAATCAATTTGCACTACTTCTGATCAATGGTTTCGGTGTAATTTATATCACTGCCTTCCTTCTTCCAATCATCGGCTAACATGTAACTTACAAAGGATATACAAATTAGTGTTTTAGCACCACAATAAACTTAAAAGCTCGAAACCCAGATTTCCTATGAGCAGTTCCTTTCAAAGTTTGGCACAATTTTAGGCAAAGAATGTTAGATTGGGAAAGGAAAGATATGTTCCAAGGTCAAAGAAGAAACTATAAAAGAAATGAAAGTATCCGACGTAATGGAAATTCCTAAAGCTTATCCAGTAGTGAATAGATAAGAAGAAGTTTCTATCTAGCTTGCTTGACCATAAAACTGGAATTATCTACAATCTCATAATCATTTTTTATGTGAAAACACTTGAAATAGGTAGCATGGATGAAAATATATAGTGTAAACGCAGTACAGCACACTGATTTTTATTTGATTGGGGGAAAGAGAGAGTTGTTTACGGAAAGTAGGCTTTGGCCTTAGCGTCTGGATACATTGAACTTGACTAACCCTAGCGTGGAGACTTGTTTAGTTTCCATTTTCGTCCCTTGAAGAACCTCTAGCTAGATCTCTCTCTCTCTCTCTCTCTCTCTCTCTCTCTCTTTCTATATTTATATAAATAAAGAGGAAAATTTTTAAGGACAAGGAGAAAATGAAGGAGAACATAGAGATAGAGATAGATCGGGTGATGCGAACAAACAAGCTGGGAAATGTTTGAGAAATCCATCTTGAACACGTAAATTGTTGAACAGTTTGACTGTTTGGTTCTGGATGCAATCTGCATAACCCTAGTTGTTACCTAACATAAATAGAGAGTCAGCCTTAGATGTATAATATATATACCTTGATCTTGAACTGCAGGGACTTGTTTCACCGCAGATGAGGGAGATGATGATGATTGTCGGAAGATAAGCTGCTGCTGATGCTGCTCATCGGTTCTTATGACTCGAGTGAGAGCATTAACCATGGCCGTCATATCATCTGATTCAGGCCATGAAGCTGCTGCTGCTGATTTGTTCTTCTCCTCCGATGTTTCGGATGGAAGCGGACGTTTTCCATGCCTTCGATCCACCTTTTTTCCCCAGAAAAAAAAAGCTAATAAAACTATGTAAATAGTAGGCAGGTATATGAAAAATGCTTCTGATTATGATTTATGAATGGAAAGATGTTTGGGATTATGACAGGAGCGGACCAAAGAGAGTGAGATTTAAGTGAGGGTGCACTGCACAATATTTGGGGCTAAACTATATAATTGGGGAGGATGTTTTTGACGAGGATGTTTTCGGCTTTTATTGGATCGGAGACTTGGACATTTCTTTTGGATTTTTACTTTTTATCTCTTAATTTATAAGGATAAATTTTAAAAATTAATATATATTTTAGTATTTAATTTAATTTAATTTTTAAATTATTTTATCTACATTAAATTTATTTTTAAATTTTTTACTTAAATCTCATTTCAGAATTTTCTGTTAAGTCACAAAAAAATTATAAATTTTAGTTTAGACTTCAATTTTTTTAAAAAAAAATATTAATTAGGCTTTCTCAAAATATTCCCAAGATCCATCACCGATCAAGATGTCTAGTGTAGGTAAAAAAAAACAAATTTTAGAACTTGATTGGATAAGAAATATATCAAATTGAAATATTGAAACTGAGTTCAGGTACTTGGACATATATTTATAAAAGGTCAAAAAAAAGATAATAAACTATTGATGTTTGAACTTCTCTTAATAGTTCAAATTGGTACTTATATTTTTTTTGTCCCAAGTGGTACTGTAATTAACTTTTGACACACGTTTTGATGCTCAACTGATTAGAAATATGTGTGTTAAAAGTTAAATTTAAATTTAAATTTGAATAATATATATATATAAGGTGTCAATTTAAATATAGATATAAGTAATAATTTTAAAATCAAAATAAAGGAATAAATAAATATGATGTTAAAACAATATCAGTTACTATACGAATTAACTTATCTCAGTGATTAAAGAAATCGTTATTGTTTTTAAATGTTACGGGTTCGGACACCAGTGACTATAACATGATAATTAAACGTTTATGATCAAATGATTAAGAATATTTAGAATATATATTATTTTATAATCACTTTAACTTAATAAAAAAATAATATCGGTCAATGAAACGACAAATCCACTTGAAAACAAAAAATTCAAATAAATAAAGCAAAAAGTGCTATAAAGGCAAGAACTAGAAGGCAACCCAACGGTGCACATGTTTCTCACATGCACGCAGTTCATTGGCTGCATAAATAAAATATTATTAACACGTGGCTGAGATTTCAGTTGTTTTTAAGGGTCTAATTATTTGATTGTAATTAATTTTCTGAAAAATAAATTATGAAAAATGAATTACAATTTTTAAAAAATGAATTCTAAAAAATATTATTTGATGTTTGAATGATATTGTATAATTCATTTTCTACTGTTTAGTAATTTTTACTGAAAATTATTTTCTAAAATTTATTTTTAATAAAAAACATATTGTAATTTTTTATTGAGTTAATTATAATTTTTTATTTTTATAACCACGTCAAATTAAAATTTAATATTACTGTCAAAACTTTTTTTCAGATTAAAAAAAAAAATACATTTTTAATTAATTATCTTTTGTTTAATTTTTAATTGAAAGTAATGTAATTTTAAGAAATCTCTCGCTTTAAAAAATTTGGGGTTTCCTTTAATAAATAAATATGGTTCGAGGAGTCGCCACCAATCTTTGATTAGGGTGTGATTGGGCACCAAAAACGTATTTTGCCATTTAAATAAAAATATTAATTTTACTTAAAACGACAAATTTAAGGTATGCGTTACCAAAATTCGAGTTCGGGAGTCACTTACGCTTGGGGAATGATTAACACCCCCACAACGCCCTAAATCAGTACCTATTCGATTAATTAATTGTATTTGCAATGAAATTTATAAGTTTGAATTTTAGTTTAGTTTAAGATCCCTTAAAACAACATTCGTGAATGTTAGAACGAAACTTAGTAATATTTAATTATTTCCTATCGAGAAGAAACGACATCTCTTAACTTGAGAAAATCAATTCCTACTCCAATCGAAATAAAGAAATATTACGGTTTCATTGCAATATTCAAATGCACAAAATTAAACAAATTAAATTAAAACTTACCAATCCTTTTTAGAAAGAACAAGGATATTTGATTATTTAAAAACGTCGAGATTGGACCTTAGATAAGTTCTAATGATATTTTCTTGAAGAATTTAAATAAACGAACATTTCTTTTTTCTTTCGTTCCCAAATTTTAGGTGATATCAAATTTTAGGGTTTTACTTAGCGGGATACATTTTCAGTTTAAAATCATCGAAAGTGAATTTCTTATAAGTTAACTTTAAAATGAAAAGGTATTACCCTTAGTCAAATTATTTGGATTGGATCAAGTAATGCTTGTGAGGATATCATACATAACATGCATCAACGACGTATGTTTCATAAATTAATTGCTCGCATACACATAAATACACAAACGTGCCAACGATTAATCAAGCATGCATAATTTAAATTGAAAGAAATATTTACAAAAAAAAACGTTTACAATCTAGCTATGACATAAAAAATAGTGATAAAAAAAGTTTTGGGGAGGGCACTCAACAAGTTATAGGGTCTATAAGGTCTTACCACTAGGCTCATTGGGTTCAGGAGCCCACCCAAGTGTCGTCTTACGTCCATAAGGAAGTATAAACTTGATCGATGGTGAACCAACAGAGCTTTCAGAGTACATCCCAAAACCCCAATGAAAATAGTTTCAGATAGTACTGGTAAATAAGGAAATCAGAGGCCAAACCTTTTTCAGTAAACAGTAACCAAAGAACATGTATCAATGAAACCATAATTTAGAATCGGTAAAAACATATATCAGAGATTCATGAAATCAGTAAACCAAAATCAAACTTTTTAGTCATTTAAATCAGGCATGTTTCAAATCAGATAAAACATTAATATGCACGTGGTAATTCAGACAGATATTTAAAAATAGGTATGTAGCACACAAGGAACACACCTCGCAAAACGGGTCGGTCTGAGAAATCTATTGAACACCAGTCTCGCTACGAAGAAAAGCCGTACACTATCCTAAATCAGACCAGAGAAGGTTACTATCGGAATAATATACTGAATAGAGTATTTAACAAAGTTACGGAATTACAATCGTAATAACGATTCACGCTATCGGGCAGATCGAGAGGAGCTGGGTCGAGCAGTCGACAGTTCAGGAAAATCACGGGCACCTATCATAACCAAAGTCATACATCAATCCTTGCCTTTTCCTTATTTTTCCTCAAATAATTTAATAAAAGTAGCTAGGCAGATTTAGGTTCGGAGGTCAATTTGGAGGTTTTCGGGTTAGAATATGAGAAAATAAACTTTGGATTCAGACTCAAGACGTTGTAAAACATATAATAGGAGTTTTTAGAAATTTTTGACTTTTTGATCAAAGTAAACAGTCAACGGGTCAAAATCAAAGTCAAAGAGTCTAGTCAACGGGTCAGGTCAACGGGATGACTCGGTCAAAGTTGACTCAATTGATTCGTCTGACTCGATCGATTTGACTCAATTTTCCAGAGAGTTTGATGGAGACGATGACCACGCGCGGTAGCGGTGTGTGTCGGTATATGCAGCAGGCCACAGGGATGAAGACAATGACTGAACACTCCCGAAGCAGACAAACACCAATATTACTTAAATACAACTCCAAAAATGACCATAAAACGAATAAACCACAAAGAAACAAACCGAGACTCACCCTTCACGGCGGTCTACAGAGGTGACATTGGTGGGAGGAAGACTCGCCTGGGTTTTGGCCGAAACAGGCTGAGGAACTCGATGACGGTGGCAGTGAGACCAACCAATGACAGAGTCAACCGAAAATCATGAAAATAGCGGCGGTTCTAGGGGTTATTAACAGACTTATATTCTTTCTCTATGACAAACATCAAGGAGTCTAATGATCAGCCACCAGGGTTTGGTCGCGACGGCTCGACGTTTACATTGGTACTGGCGGTGACAAGCACCTCCCACTAGTGAGAGAGATCGTTGACGGGTATTTTAACTAGTTCTTCCCGATTCTGCAACAAACGGTGGCCGATTTAGGTGATTTACGTGTCGACGCTCGATCACTAGATGACGACGATGCTGCTAGAGCTAACAGTGTAACCCATTGTCGACCGGAGCTGGAGGGTGGGGAAATGGTGAGCTGAGGGAGATGGGTTTTGCTAGGAGAAAATAGGCTATCGCATGCAAACCAAATGAAGAATCAGGGGGGGGAAGAAATAAATTTGGGAATTAAAGAAAATGGCAATTCACACTTCAAGTCCCTAATAAAAAATTTGTAGAATATATCTCAATTTCTAAAATTTTCAGAAATTGATCCCTCAAACATTACTAAAAAATTCAGGGTGTGACAATTGGTTTCTTCATACTTGTGCATAATCCTTGCAAATACTTTGCATAATGAGGTACATGTTTAACAACATCATGTAAGGGTGTCTTTACCTCAGTTTCATGGAAGGTTTCAAGGCTTTCTCTCTCTTCCATGCCCTTCTTGTTCCTCATCATTTGGGGTGGAATTAGGAACGATTGCAAGATTTTATATTGCAGTGAATTTTATAAAACTTTAAAACAAATTATCAATAGAAACTATCTAAATTATATGAAAATTTAAATTTTTTAAGAAAAACGATTATTTCCGCCCGCCGCTTAGATTTGTACCGGGTGGAATGACAGCCACATTCCACCTTTTTTTAAAGTTTAAAATATGTTTTACCTCATTTATCTAAGAAAATGGTTCCAATGATTTCTCACTTCTCATGCTGCATTTACGTTTTATCTTAGTTTGAATTATGTCTCATATGCCAGTTTATCTTGAAATTCAAAATTTACCAACATTACAATTTAGTGATAAGATATTCTTCTAGGACGTACTTGAAGATTTTGGTTGCTATAAAGATGGCTTAAACTATTAATATTGCTTATTAAATTAGATCATCGTCCCATCACTGAAATTAGAGTAATCTCTCCATCTCAGATTGTATGTATGAGAATATATATTGTATCGTGTTTAGAGTGATCCCAGAAAATTTTCAACTTGTTTCAAGAGCCATCTTGAGAGGCACGCATTGGGCTGTAAATGATAC